CAATCGTTGTATGCGCAAACGTCCTCAATTGTATTCATTCTTGGATTTTTCATTTCAAATTCACTGGATCGCTTATTCGTAGAGCCAATAACTCTGTTTAGCGCAATTCAACATCAAATTTGCCTGTTATCCAGTCATTTACCTATCTAAGAAGCAGAACTAAACAACATGCCGTCGCATTTCTTTGAATTACAATAAAATTATAAAAGGATTTGTAAATTCCCTTATCGATCGCGTTTTCGTGGAGGATTTCAGAGAATACTAGATAAAAACTTTCCGCGCACTCAAAATTTAACTATCGAGTGTTCTTAAAAGAGAAAATGGCTCACTAGCCAAACATGAACACGAAATTCTTTCACAAAAAGTAAACCTTGCCAAACAACGACTTAAAATATCTTGGAGCTCAGACTGTGACCCAATGAACCCAAACCGTAGAGTGACATGGTTCACTACAACATGTGCTTTTGACTTGGTAGTTTTTCATTTCGAAAAAAAATTCAGAGAAAAATATCTTGTTGAAAAGCTCCTTTACCCTTTGGCAGAGTTCTTTCTGAATAACTAAGGTTCTAAAGCAAATGAAAGTTTAAGTATACGCGGCAAAATGAGAGTATAGTGTAAGAGAGGTAAACTGACCTCGTGATGAATTCGCCAGATCCGCAATTCGCTGAAAAGCGTCCAAAAAAGCGTCAGCAGCTACAACTGTTGCCCTGAACAAATAAATATCAAAACCAATAACCCTCTTTATTCCCTAAGGCAAAAAGATGAGTGATCTAAATGTAGATAAAAAAAATTCACTCCAAATTATACCAGACGTACTTGAGCGCCGAGTGTAGTTTACTTGCTTTGCCGACGAAATCTTCCCAAACAGGGGCGCTAGACTGGATGAAATTGAAATATTAAAACTGAGCTTGTCTAGGAAAATTAAGCATCAAAATAAGTTTTCAAGATCAGAGAGAATTCTCACCTTTAAATCGTTCAGTATCGTGAATCAAGTTGCCTTCGCTGTCCGCGTTGTCGCCCATAATTATGGCGGTTTGTAGTTCGCTTTCGATCCTCTTCTACCCTCACGTTTTCAACATGAGTTCACCGAAGTCTCCCAATCTTTACCTTGGAATTCCAGGATTCCTTTCGTCGCGTAGGGGTATAGGAGTGTCAGTTTTCACGTAGTGTACAAGGATATCCCACTAAACGTACGGAAGCAGAACTATTTCTTTTCTACAAAGGGAAAATACACCTTTCGATTAATCCCACACATATCACAGTCTGCGATCGAGTCACGTGATATGTTATCACTGACTTAATTTACATACAACAAAAGACGCGGTCGATGGCAAATTAAAACAAATTTCTACTTGGTAGTATCATCAATTAACAAATTTACGCTCAGAACAGGAAATAATATTCATCGAAAAACGTCCCGAAGTGTCGCTTTGCGTCGCTCAATTGAGGTTTTTACAAAAGATCGAGACACGCAACGATCGATAAATGATGTTGGAATGATATCTGATAAATCATACGCATTAAATTTAGTAACGTTGAAATATAGAACCCAAGGCTTCAATAAGCCGAGTATTTCAGGAATATGTATTAAATTTAGACTATCTAGATTACGATGAGGAGAAAAATTTGCGTCTTTGGAGAGATGTCAAAACCACAAACTTAAACAAAGGCGAGCATGGCAGCTTGAGGGCTTACATCATATTTCTCTAAAAACACGAGCCCAAACTTATCAAAACTACATACCTCATGGCAATTATTGGCAAAAGAATTGTGCGCAGTAATTTTTGAGACCCATATTATCGATACATAAGTAAGATGAACGAATGAAATACCTCGACGTTCCACTTATCAAACGCGCGCATCTTGAAAATGTATCTGAGAACTTCATTTGCCAAGAATTATCTGCCGGTGAATCATATCAACAAAAAATATCTGAAGTTTGTCGTTCTTTGAGGACTTGAACAAAGTGACTCAAAACATATGGCGGCAGAATCTTTTAGCGATATGTCACCAGGTTGTAAACTCACATAGCCGGCAAATCAACATCGGAGGTTTTGATCGAAAACAGATCGGGAAAGGAATGAAAAATGTTGACTCCCTCGCCTTTTGGCACCTCCATTTCATTTAAAGGTATTTTTGTCACCGTTCAGAACGGAGATTAGCACCTTGATTCTTGGTGCTAAAAAGAAAATTAAGAAGCTTTTCAATATGATGATCAGGTTCAATTCAGTGATCACTTACAACTGAGATGAATTTACACTCACTGTACTTCTCGATCCAGTCTTTCCAGTTTCCTGTGTAACAATCGTCACCCACAAGTTTCTCTTCCAATTTTTCTAATATTCTGTTTCCTTAGACTGTTTCACGTCAGAGAGATAAAAACACACTTAAAGCGTGTTTTCTAGAAAAAGTACTTCGTAAATAAGTGCGGTTTGAATCTCCGACTAAGTTGTGGTTTTAGACAAGATTAACGATTAAAGGCCGCCGTAAATTACTTATTCAAAATTTTGCCAATTAAGAGGTCATCATCGAAATTCTTAATGAGATAAAACGGCTCGACTTTTCTTACGGAAAGACAGCTTTTGTCCAAGTAAAGGAATACCAAGGCCCATATGTGCAATTCATATTGCCTTTGAGGGAAAAACGTCTCGGAAATGGGTACTTGAAGTAAGTACTGCTAGTAGTGTCTCAACTGTGATGTAACGGGAAAAGCAATGAAGTGGTTCTGGAAGACTCGGCTTTCAAAGAACTTGTCCAATCAGTTTGGAAACTGAGTAAAGTAGAAGTATGCAGTAGGAAAAAAGGAAGCTGATGGGATAAAAACAAGGAATGTGACAAACTTTTTTGAGCCAGAGTATTGATATTGAACCGAGTGACATCTGTTATATGTTTCTTTAGATAGTCGTTACACATGGAGCTACGAGCGTTTGATTATGCAACGGAATGGAAAATCACGAGAACTCGTAAGTGTATCAAGATGCAGTCAATATTTGTGCAGTTTTAGGTGCTGATTTTCATGGATGTAGGAAAGGACAAGGAGAGCAACAAACGCGGTTGACCACACTGGTGGAAGGCGAGCTGAGTCTCATGCACCGCGAGTCCATTACAAGTTGCTCGAATTATTTTTGGTTTGCTTCTTTCTTATTCTTGGTTTTTTAGCCGTTTATAAACAAAACAGTTAAGATCAAAACATTGGCAAGAAAATCAAAGCATACATGCATATGAACAGCCGAGGCACTTTGGTTGGGTGCGTTGACGCAGCTTCATCGCAACTTTCCATCTTTCAACTACACTGTTCGAAGAGCGTCACTCTCGGGCTGTATGACCATTTCGATGTATCCGCGTGTAAAACCTCTCATGTAAGTAAATCATTGAGGATAAGCTTAAATTTGATAGTACTTAACAAGGCATTTTTTCCCATAACAACGCAGCCGTAGTCTCCGAAACAATAAAACGCATCTCGCGTTAAAATTCAACTTTGTTTCGGGTTGGAAAACGAGAGATGCTTATCTGAAAACTCTAACAAGAAGCAGATATGCTTGAAATGCTTTTAGAAAAAAGTGTAGCACAATTTCACAAGTCTGAAAAGCCTTTGACGCAGTAAGGTGATGGGCTGATAACTTTCCGATGAAGGTGGGAGAATTCGTGGTCAATAGATGAAGAGATCGGCCAGTTATCACCATAAACTTCCAAGCCAAGCAGTGAGAAGTGGTCTTGCTCATCGAGAAAAATAATGATTTCTTCGCTTATACTTATTGGTGGTTTATAAACTTATATAAATTATGCGCTAATTCTGAACAATTTTTGTTGAGAGACAGCAACAGAAGGTGGACTCTTTATGCGTTTCAGTTTTCGGCTGCAAGTCTCAAGCGCCCGATATCATTTTCAAATTTTACGGTTTTTTACTCGTATATCGTAATGTTTAAGAATCAAGTCGGTAGAACTGACTTCTACTCATTCGGAAAATTCAGCGATATTTTTAGTCTCCTTTCCTCTTCCTCTAGACGAAAACGAAGTTATTCGCTTTCTTTTCAAAGTCAGTATGAAAATAGACCAGGACTTGAATTCCCTCGCTGTTTTCTTGTTGAAAGTGCACCGTCTTGGTACAAATGCGAAATACTTTTCGTAATGTCATAAAAAAAGGCTCATCCCAACAATTTTCAATTCTTTTGTTCCCTAGGTAACATTTTTGGTCAGAAAAAACCGCAATACTTCGCCCCTAAGGAAGTAGTTTAAATGTTTGGCACGCCCGCAAAGATTATATTGAATAGGGGCCATCATCGTACTTGAAACACCCGCCGTGTTGTCTGAGAACCCTGAATTTGCTAAAGGGAATCGTGCCGTAATGCAATTACTTTATAGATACGCGATTCTAGTCGACTATCAGGAATACAGATCTAAACACAAACAAACAACTACTCGACCTAACAATTGTATGAGCTTGAACTAACAGACGTCAAAAAGCAATTTGGAAACCACCATAGTATATATTGAAAAAAAATACAGCCAAAAAAATGAACAATTGATAAATGTAGAAAAATCTGGAGGAAAGAACAGCTTATCAAAGGAATGTTAAATATACCGAAAATGCCAGTATATGGAACAGAGCATTGTCAGACCTAATAAATAAAGTGCGCAAGTTTGTAACTCGATCACCATAGCTCGAAATCGTAATTAGCTAAAGACCGACAAATGCTCGATCAAGAATTCTACACACATCTAGAAATAACGATTACTAACCAGATATAACTAACATATGGAGAGCCGCAGTGTCCCGATTTCTCCGGCAGCTGTCATTTGCATTCTCAAAACTTTTGTTTTGGTTTCGAGTGAGTAAGTATTAATATTAGGAAGATCAGCTCCAGTTCGTCATACGGGACATCGCACAGACGTCATGAGACAACTGTCACGATCCAGCGGAAGTAACGTGACGTTACATGTGAGTGTTGAATGAAAGTGTCACGTTACAACAGAGTGACTGAATCAGGAAGAGACGTGTCATGGCGAAGTTGACCTCTATTTTACAAACGACAACAAAACACAATATACAAGCTAATAACGAAGAAATTTGACGGGTACAAGTGCTGACAAAACTACGATTTAGAATCCTGGAACGGACTGTCAATTGGGTAACGGAATAAATCTACACGTAAAATTCAGTTAGTCCAAAGATGCGACAAACGAGATCTCAGGTGAGAATTCGAAGCGCTTTCTAACTTATCTTTAATCGATTCTATGTCACTTTGGCTGGTATAGCCTTCCTCCAGATAATCTTTAGAGCTATGACGCAATTTGTCCTTCTCTAAAAACCTGAACTAAGCCAGTTTTCATATCTGATTTGACTTCCTTATCTTCCGGCCGTACGTTACGCTTGCCTCGTGGATGTTTTTGTGCCGAAGAAAACGCATAATTTGAGTTTCCACTCTCTAAATTAGGCGCAATTCACTCTGACGTTCAAAATGACATCATTGACAAAAGCAAAAGTACACATGTCTATAAAGTTTATGTCTCGAAGAAATCTTCGAAATAACAAAACATGCCTGAATTTGTGTCGAGTTAACGTTCCTACTCAGAAAGACTTCGCACTAAATCAAGAGGGAAAAACTTAATTCACGCTTACCTGAAAGAATCACCGCAAGATCTGAAAGACAAGCTATGCTCAAACCGGTATATAAAAAAATGCATGTATCACTTCACACGCTGAGACCAGTTTTGTGCGTGGCAAAACAAAACATTCAGTCGTTGTCAATAGACAGACTGCTTTAAGCAGTTTTCCCGTGGGCGAAAACTAAAGCAGTGAAGTGGCTGCCAAAGAAACACATGATTACCTTTAAAACGCGTGACTGGCGAAGATATTGTGTGAAGTTCCCACGCTTAGAGAAGGTTTTCGATAAGAATTTAATATCCGTTGATTTTAATATGAGAGTACCTTTCGTTTCAAAAATTTGACCCTCTTTCTCGATGTCGGTTAAACATCAGTCGTATTTGTTTCATTCCGCGTGGGTTGGCAGTTTGAAGTACCTGGCATTATTTTTGTTAATGACCTATGCGCGTAAACTTCTTAGTATGAATCGAGTAATTTTCCGATCCCAGTCTTTCACGCCTCTCTCCGGAAACTCAAGTATTTGATTTATTTTTAATATAAAAAACTCCTCTTCCTTGAACCGGTCGTAATAAAAGCGAAAAGAGAGGACAATGTTTAAAAAAAGTCAAGAAAGCGAGCTGGCGTTTGTAGAGTATTTTGATTGTTCTTATTTTTCATTTATTAACTTTTGTTTGGATGTTGTTATTTTTGTTGTTTTTTTCTTCTTCAGCCAGACCGGTCTAGACTAGAAAAGCATGGACAAACGAAGCCAAAAAGAGATTATCTAAGTCTGTTACATGAGCAGAGTTTAAATGGAAATCTGTATAATCTTATAAAGAATTTTGGAAGAAGGCCAGTTGTGTTAACCAAGGAATCTAGCAACTTCTTCTCTTCGCTTCTAAGAAGATAAGAAAATCTAATTAGTTTTCTATGTTATAATCATCAAGTAATTCGACATATTTATCTAAGTTCTCTTTAAGTTAAGAGGCAAGATATTTTCATGTGGTGACAGCATCGTTCAAAAAACCGTAAAAGTGAACGTTCTGCAAATATTTCTGACTCACAGTTCTCATAAATACAAGAGAGCCCTTTAAATGGTTAGATCGGTTGTAATAGAACCTTAAGTTCTGAAAATCTCGGGTACGTTGATTGCAATCATACAGGACGTGAAAGTAGTGTACGTAGGATTTCGTTTAATATCCTATGGAAGATTAACTAAATCAGTGCTTAATTCAATAACTGCTTAGATTACTGAGTACACTCAGCTACTCTGTAAGTATGCTCTGCCTCAAGAAACGACTTCTGTTCCTTAACGATCACTGATAATCAAAAACTGGATTAATGCATGATAACATTTTAGAGTTTTGATTAGCTTAGCTAAGCACCCACCCTATCTACTTTACCGTGCGATCCTGGAATCCTCTGACTACTGCAGAATCATACGGTTATTTCATTTATTCCTTTTTTACAAATTATCACTCGGCCAGACTATTTCTACTATCTATTTAGTATTTTTGGTAATCTCTTTAATGACAGATTTTCTCCAGAATTTTGATGTAATGCCAACATTCTCATGACTAAGCACCCTTGACTGGTCAAGTGCACAAAGAGAGAATCTTGGACTGGATTTCCGTCGAGAGGAATGTCACTGACCACGCAGCATTTTCATTTATTACACAATCGATGAAACCTTCTTCATGGGCACAAAGTCCTTAAAAGCAAAAGAGAGAATATGTTTCTCCTTGCAGCTAAACGCGCTCTTTCGCGTCACTTGCATGGGGCACGCGCTTTCAGTCATAATTTTTTCCGCCATCTCTCTAAATTGTACAATCCAAGCACCATTGACATAATTTGTTAAGGGCCAAAGGAGACTATGAATTCATGAGCTGACCACTTTTTCCGCAGCGTGACACGATTAGGAGTATTCCCAGTGGTTCTCATCCAGACCTTAACAACTCGAACCCTTCCCTAACAGTCTGATGGTATTCATTTATACTCTCTTGTTGACGTAGGCCGTGTGAAATTAAGTTTCCTGTACAAGACAACAACACAGTGAGCCCAGTTAAGGCTCAGTTCCGAACCTCCTCGCCCGAAGAAAAGCGCGTTTCCGTTACACCGCCTCATTTAGCTCCTACATCGGGAAGACAGATATGCACGTGTAATTTCTGACGCTGGAAACCAATTTCCTTCACCTTTTAGTCCGCGCTTTTGAATTGCAAGTTCTCCTCTGACTAAAGAAGCCATCCTGGCATAGTGCAGGAATTATATTTGCGATTTTTGCGCGATTTTTGCACGATTTTTGCAAGCACAGCCAATACTTATAACTTATCACAGATGGAGGGGTCAATAACAGAGTTATGATACAAAACGGGCAATAACATGTTTCAAATTGAACTCCAATAATGGCTGTAGGATAGACGTAGAGACAACTAACTGGAGACGTGACATAATTATATTGAAAAGTTACCTAGTTCAGCCTTGTAGTTCTTGTTATTCTTGTGTAATTTTTTTAAAATTTCATGGCTTTACTGCATATCGATTTTCCGCTGAGAAAAGAATATAAAAAATGTAAAAAGATTCATTTGATTTGTTTTCTGATCGTTTTTAATCAGTGTCGAAGATTTTTCGGTGCTTGACGGTTTCCTTGGGCCAAATCTTTATATTCACAAAAGCTCGAAACCTCAACTTCCCGAAACAAGCCCCAAGAGATGAAAACATTGCGCTGTGTGAAATTCGCTTTAGGTCATGTTTAAAAGCATGGAAGATGCTTTCTTACAAACCACTATTGGTCTCAGTCAAGTTGGGTTCCTATGATAAAACAAAATATTTATACAAAGGCCTAAGCTTTTCAAACGTATGCCGCATAATCGGAATCGTCTTTATCTCAGATTTTCATCAACAAAAACTATTTTCTTTCCGTTTTGCGTACGAAGCAACATACATAATCTTCATAGATATTGATTTCAAATCTGTCAAACTATAGTTAAAAACTACTCTCTTTTGCATAGACGCCGCTATAAATGGTTGCCTTGGGCAACAGACGAGCGTTGAAGAACTTTTCTGTTTTGAAACCAATCGCCTATATATTGGCGATTGGTGCTTGTACACGCGAAAAGAGAAGCACAGAGTATTCAGGGTTTCAGCTTTTTCATCTGCCAAGTTAAGTTTCCAATTGGATTCGATGTATGTTGTGGTTTTCTTAGAGGTAATATTTTTGTTATAAATCACGTGAATTTGCTTTTTTTCCGTCCGTGACGATCGATGCCGCCCACAAAAACAGCTGCAATCGTCAAGTCTTTCTCAATGATGACAACAGGCCGAGTCGCCCACACACTTTGCCCCACGGAACAGTCGTTGAATAACACTGCGCGCTGCGTGTGTTTTGTAGTGCTAAAACTCAAATGTGCTTAAACAAGAACTAAGCTTTGTATCTTGTGCCACAGAGAAAGAATATCCTTGCAGTTTCCGGCTAAATTAACCTTCTAATAAAGGCTAAAATATATTAAAAGCCGATGGAATATTTGACGTTTTCCTTGGTTGATGAATGAAGGTAATTTGTTCGAGCGCAGTTGCTTTGCATTTCCAAAGGGTTAATTCATTAAGGCGATTTTTGCGGGGAATTTAGTCCACTTTGGACGGAAGGAAAATTAATTAAAGAAAGGTTCTCTTTTCATAACAAGTAGAAACGGCTTTTAAATTCAGCAACGAAGTCAACAATCATAAATTTAGATTTTCCGGCTATTTTTGTTTTTTTTTATCGAATGTACCCGGGAAAAGAGAGACAGAACTACTTGAGAAACACGAAAACTGATGATATTACATTACTTTTATGTTTCGCGTGATGAAACTTAAGGAAGATGTTTCGTCATTATTGTTGTTCATAACTGTACTCGGGAGGTAAAAAAAACATCACAGCGCGATGGATTCATCGGATGTATTCGTTGCAACAAGCCCGCTCCGACATTATGAAGCAATAGATTCATTTTTCATACTAATCGAATAGAATTATGTGAGCGAACACTCGCGCGCAACTTCAAACAGCATAAATCGTTTTCATTGATCTTGGATATGAGAAGGAAAACATACGGCTACAAATGGAAATATCAGCACACGCTACAAAATCCATTTAAGAGTTGTATAGCAAAGGGAAAAAACACATGCTGCGATTTCAAGCATACAACATGAACGGGCCAATCGTAATTAGAACACTCACTGTTCAAAAATAAAACTTCGCGCATACAGCGCTCAGGCTTTCTTAAAAGTGAATGGATCATTAGGGAGTCTGTCTCAAGTTTTGTTCAAGTTTTAATCTGCGAATCGCAACGCCAGGTGATAGGCATTAAGTGTTTTATCAATTCAAAGGCAAAACGCAAATTCGTTTCTCCGAGACACCTCTTAGTTTTGGCGTCTAAACCGCCCGATGGGAGCGAATCGAAAGGTTTTTTCTCGCTTTTTTAATTTTCGTTCACTATTTCATTAATTCCAAGAAAAGACCTTAGGAATTATTGTGTCTGTATAATAATCTAAAGGGGATGAAAACACATTTCGCGTTGATACATGAAGAACTGTAATGGAAAATGTTGTTTGTAACAGTAAACGATGTTACTT